TTCTTTTGATATCTTTCAGTACTTATATGAAGCATTTCTTACATTATATATTTTAATAATAATTTAATACTTTCTAGGTAGGCATTCTATTTTTGCACATGTAATAGGTAATTGTATGTGAATCAATTTTATTTATGAATATTTTATGAATTTGAAGGAGATTAATTTTATAAATAAAAAATTAATTAATATATAATAAATAATATATAATATAATAAATTTTTATAAAAATAAAAAAAATTTATTATATTCAAGATTATAATAATAATTTTCTCCTTATAAAAAATATTAAGTACACTAAAATATTAAGTAAACTAATTCAAATCTCATTTTTTATTTATAATATTTATAAATGAGGATCAATAAATTCCTTAAATGAAAACTCAGTGTACATTGCATATAATAAATTTATATTAGATTTAGATTTGAGCTAGTATCATCAAATCAAATCAAATCTATTCTAATTTAAATTAATTTAATCTTAATTTTAAATAAATTTTTAATAAATACCATAAACATTAAAAATATTATATATAGTATTTTTATTTATAATTCAAAAATAATGTAGAATAGCATGTAGAATAACATGTAGAAAAAAATTGTTCAGAATTATGCCCATATTTCAAAGTCAGGAGAAATTCTCCTTGATAAGGAAAAATCTTTTATAAATAATTAGCAATATTATAATGTTAATATGTGTAATGATTTTGTGAGAAAATAGCTTGTAATATTTTATCTGTCCCATTCATTATATAATGGATATAATATATATTAATATGGAATATATATAATATACTATTATATAAAATGGATTTAGCATATTTTTGTACGTCATATAATATGTTAAAATATTCATAAGACATCTTTAGAGAATTGATATTCAAAAACTAAAATAAATACAATATATAAAAATATTGATTGAGATTTATTTATTAATTTATAGATAAAATAAGATGGAAATAGAAGCCACTTTGTCTTTTTTATATCATATATCATATTCTTGTTTCATTTGAGCTTTAAGTAAGCTAACATTTTTGTACAGCAATTTTTGTGTTTATTTTGGTCTCTAGAATCAATTTTCTAAAGATGTTTTATGAATAATTAATTAATTCTTGCAAAAAAAGAACTAGCATAATGATATAACAATATAATTCCAGTTGCATGATATATGTATATACATACATATAATATACATATATGATAAATAACCAAAGAAAAATTAGTTTCACCTTGAATTTGCCGATATGTTGTTTCTTTTAATTAGTCAAGAATTGAAACTTTAAAAACTTTTAATTGTCATTTATTATTCCTTACAAAATTATTCGTTTTATTATTTGTGATAAATATAAAAAAAAGCAATCTTAGAAAAACAAGCTATCATAAAAGCATTTATATATATATATATATATATATACAATAAAATTCACAAGAATATAAGAAATAATATAAACATTAGGAAAAAGTATTCAAATATAAATATAAAACAATAGTTTTGTATTCACTTATATATGATATAAAAAAACATTGTATATATTGCTAATAAAAATTTAGTCCAATTTAATATTAATTGAAAGAACAAAAAGTCCAATTTTCAATCAAGAATAACTTTTTAAGGAATAATAAAGCAAATAAAATTCCTCTTAAATTTAGAAGATGTTATTTTTAACAACATATATCGATATTAGAATTGATTTTTAATCAATTTTATCAATTTTTTTTTTTTTTTTAATAGCATGTTTATAATATATATGATTTAAATATATTATTAAGTTTAATTTTCATTACCTTCTTCCATATTTTTATTAAAATTTGTTTTTTCATTATTCTCTTGTATGGGTCCTGGTAGAGGTGTTTCATTATTTTTTAAACAATTATGAATATATGCTGCTTTCCATTTAGCATATTTTCTATTTTGTATAGCTTCTTCACTCAATTCTCCAAAAACAGTTAATACATCATAAAGTAATCCAGCTGTAAAAAAACTATGTACTACATTTTTTCCAAAATTAGCTGCTCTATCATTTTTATCTGCGTAGAGAAAAAGTTTTAATGCCCAATTTTCTAAATGTGCCTGAGCAGCTATATCATTTGTAATAGCTTCATTATCATATAATTCTTTTTTAGTTGTTTCTAACCAATCCATTAATTTCATTAAAAAGTTTGTTTCCTTTGGTGATTTGCTTGATAATTTTAGTCCTGTTTGAAGAGCATATAATCGACCTATAATAAAAATTAATAATTTTAAAAAAACTTAACTGTAATAATTTTTCTTTCTATAATAATATAAAAAGCAAATTCATACACCAATAACTAATAACAGGATCTCGTTGATCATGCGTTGATGCTATTTTTAGATAATGTTGTATACTTTTTAAAGATAATGGTATTTCTGGTAAATCTAGGTTAACCATGTTGAATAATAGATTTAATTAAATTGTTTTATATTTTTTTCTTGTTTTATTCTTTGTTTTTTATTTTATAATCTCTCTTATAAGGATTGCATCTTTTCTGTAAAATATTTATAATTTATGACAAATTAAAATTAACTTTATTACCTGTTTTATAATTCAAGAAAAAAAAATGTTAGTGAATCAATACAATGTTCATAATAATCATGCAAATTCATTTAATAATAAAATTCTTGCAAAATGTTTTTGAGAATTGTTTTATTTATTGATAAACATTGTGTTGCAATGAT